ACGAAGCAGAGATCCTAATTTCAGCATATCATAACACAGACTGCAAAACAGAAAACATGCAAAACCTTAAGGCAAGTAGCTAAAAACAAATTTATTCTAAGAATTATCAGCGGGGAGAAAAAAGTTCTCATTGATACCAGAATAATTACAAAATCTTGGGTTGTCAATTTCACGTTCCACATTGCGAAGTCAAAAATACGTCCACATTCTGAGTAACACTAAACACAACAGAGACCGTTTATAAAGCTTTTCAAATGTCCCTACTGTGATATATAATCATAGGCTGTTGCTCTGCAAATGGTTGGTGAAATCTAACAGATTTTTTTTAAAGTAAGACATCTATAATCTTGTAAAAATGTACCTCATAAATATTGCCCTGCCCCCAAACCAACAGAGGTTTTTTTTTATTGCTTTGTGTATGTGCGGTGGTTTTTGTTTTGGTTTGGTTTGGTTTTTGCCTTTATTTTATGACTGCCTTATCTCCATTAGAAAACCATCTGCCTATTAGCAGATAATATGAAAACTAAATCAAGGTTCATGCTACCTTAATGACAGGTATCTTGTAATGATGATGCCCATAAGAAATTATCTCTCACTGATGAATGGTCTGCTCTCACTAGGTAAGTGCTGCAAGCCTCACTGCTTGACCTTGCTGCCCCTGGATGTGTTCCTATGTGAGAGCAAATACTTCTTTGGAAGCATTACTTTAAAAACTACATAAGCAGAGAAAAACACATCCTCAGGCATCAAAAATCCCTCAGTCCTCTTTGTAAAGGAATTAGAACTTCTGAAAAAGCAAACCAAAAACAGAAAAGCAGAATTAGGACAACCCCAAATGTCATCCAAACCAACATGGTAACTGGAGTTACTCCTCTTTTTCTATGAACATCTTTCTAATTACTGGAGACAAGTGCTCACTTTGGAGGTACAATACTGAAATTACTGCAGACAAGACCATATTCTACAGTAGCACCCTGACTCCCTGAGGAAGGGGGAATGTTTAGTCAAGCAGTTCAAACAGGCCTTATATCAAATATCCATCCACAAAAGCAGCAGACTGGAATACGCACATTTTTATCCCCTCTATACAAGCAACATGGCTATTTGATTGATTATAAGATTCTGATCATCTGAAAAGCATTCCAAACAGCTATGTCTTATCAGTGGTTCACAACTCATAACACAAAGTAACAAAATCCTGGAAATACTCAGAATCAAATACATAGATGGACCAAAGTAAAATTATATTGATAAAAATCTTCTATGTTATTATACAGAAGGGAATTAAAACCTACCAAATACGTTTTCATTAAAAATTCTAGCAAATCATGCCATGATACTATTTTTTTCCCAACAAAAATCATATGGCCTTCTGACCTTTTTTAAAACCACATGGAAAGTACTTTTTGCAGTCTGTCTTTTCCAAATAGAATTTAATCACACACTACACATTTCATCAATAACATGAAAAAGATACAAAGAACATGATACAGAAAAGCTGTCCTCTTTTTATCATGTCTACATAAAAAAGTATGCAATTTAAGGTATCACTTGAAAAGAGGAAAAGATAGCATAAAATGTCAAGAATTTCATCACAGTCAAATAAATTAACAATATCACATATACTGAACTCTTTCAAATACTCATATCAGCTTTGCCAAAATTATTTGTGTGTTTTCTATTACAAATGACAAGTTTAAACCAGAGGCACTTGCAGTGTTTGAAAACAGACCACAGCACAACAGCCTTACTTGCTCACGTATAATCTGCCAGAGATTATCAGCATGCATATATTTAATGGGGTACCCACAAAACTGTTAGGTTCCTTTTGATTAAAACACACAAAGTATTATAAAGGATGAAAAATACAACATATAACATTAAAAAGAAGCTTCTAACCCCAAATGGAAGCCAAAGTCATCACTAAGCACCAGAAAATTAACATCCTGAGAAAGAAGATTATTTATTCAACAAATACTGATTGACTATCTGCTGAGTGTCAGGAGTCTTAGAGGCCCTTCCCTTAAAAAGCCCACAGGCAGGCGCAGGTAGACAAACAAGGACAAAATTACAGGACAGTGAGGTCAGCGCTACACGGAATGAAGGACCCCCATGGAACTTGAAACAAACGGCATTAGTTTAAATCCAGGTTCAGAATGATGATGGATAAAGCCCCAATCTTCTCTTTTTCTAGAAATGCTAGGTACAGTGGTGGGCTGTTTGGGGGAGGACCACTACTGTGACCTCTCATCCACCAAGACCACCAGCAGGTCACGGCCACCTTAGTAACTTTCACAATCACTCCCCTCCCCCTCCATTTAATCAGGCATATCATAAAACCCGCATTTCTTGGAAAACACATCATTAATAAATACCTAGAAATTAAAGTCATGTATGACCTTATGATGATGGAATTTCTTAATGTAACTTAAGAAAAACAGATACAGTTATACTTCATTTACTCAGCTACCATAAATATTTGGAAAACATTTAGAAACTCGGAAGGTAGCAAAAGAGTACATTAAGTAGGCAAAATAAATGTCAGAATCTGCTCCCTAAAACAACACACGTAACAGGTAGCAAAGCCCAAAACTCACTCAAAGCATGCACTTTTATTTTAGAGATGATCCTCATAAGCAAACCAGGAAACAAGGGAAGAGTGGTCACAGACACACTGGCCATAAAAACAGGTCACTATTGGCAGGAGAGAGAAGACTCAAAGAAAGCAGAAAGAAATACGAACGAAAATGTGTGGTCTGAGGCCCGTTGATGCAGAGCTGTTTTTACAGAATAGAACTCAAAGAGAACTATGGTCTCTTTCTTTGCCTGCTCCCTTTCCTATTCAACTTGTGAATTCCTCGCAGGTACATCCAATATTACCATACTGGTTCATCAGTACTTGTAAAAACAAACATGTTTTTTTCTTTATAGAAGGACACAATAATTGGGTGGAGGGGGCAGAGAGGGAGGGTTATATACAGAGAAATAGCAGGTTATGTTTTTCCATTTCAGTATTCTTGCAAGGAGCTGTTTTGTGTTTTGTTTTGTTAACCACCTATGCGTAAAGCCCGTTAATGTACCATTCTGGGAAGACCAGCTTTTTGAAAAATATGAAATAATGCTGTTACAATAATAAGTGTAATTAAAATGCTGTTCAGAGGCACGGTACAGGAATTTTAGATCTCAAGGTACGCAACGACCAACGGCAGCAGAGTCGCTCCTCTTGAGAAGACTATCGTAATGGACACATTTCAAATGTCTGCTTCTAGGAGATGCTTATTATGTCTACGTTGGCAGGTTCCACTGGCACAGAGCCCACATGCAACAGGAGTTGATATCCTTAGACTGTTCTTTACCTCCTCTTTTCTTCTGGCTGCTGTACAAACATTTTCAGTGCTTTCTAAATGGCATAAATATTTTCGGGGCTTCTAACAGCCAGCAAGGAGAAAATTTCCAGGGGTCCCCATTTTGGTCCCTAACTCTGCAGGCTGACATCTGGCTTCGAAGAACAGGATTACCCTTAGCAGAGCTGTTAGGCTCTGTCAGCAATTTCTCTCCCCACTGTGGCCTCCAGTCTGCTGGGGACACAATTCTTCCAAACGGTGTAGCTACATTATCTCAAGCTGTGTCTTCAGAACAGGCAGAAAAATCCTCCAACACAGACGTGAAAATCTGAGCCCAGATGTCCTACACCCTTCTAAGTCATGATGTTCGTGGATCAAACTTGCAAAGGATGCATTTTAAACAGCTAGAAGCTGATGTTACCCACGCTTTACAGTAAGAGGAGTTACAGGTGATACTGATTTTTTTAGGAAAAGTTGGCCTCAGGAAGATATTCCTTTCTCTCAGCAGTTCTACCTCAGTATCAGTAAAAACATCCAAAAGGTAGCTCTGCAGCTCTAACTCTCACCAAGCTGCAGCTACTGTATGCTCGATGGCTTAGAGGTGGACAACTTCATACAGAAGTAATTCACGCTATGTAACATGGACAACTACATACTCATATGACAGCTCTAGGTTTATTTTATTTTGTAACAAACTTCTTTTTTCTCCTTGAGTAATATCAAAATGGCCCTCAACTGATGACTAAAGGCCAAACTGTAAAATTAGTAACGGCTTATCTCAGGTAAACAAAACGCAGTATATATCCATACAATGGAATATTATCTGGCAACAAAAGGGAGTGAAATACTGATTCATGCTACAACATGGATGGACCTTGAAAACATTTTGCTGAAGTGAAAGAAGCCAGACACAAAAGGCTACATATTGTATAATTCCATTTATATGAAATGTCCAGAACAGTCAAATCCACAGACCCAAAAAGTTCAATCGTGGTTACCAGAGGCTGGAAGGAGTAGGGAATGGGGAATGACTGCTTAATGGGGATGGACTTTCATTCAGGGTGATGAAAATGTCCTCAAATTAGACCGTGGTGTTGATTGCACAACTTTGTGAATATACTAAAAACCACTGAATTATACCTTTTAAAGGGGTGAATTTTATGGTATATGAATTATATCTCAATAAAATTGTTATTAATTTTAATAACTGAGTAATGACGCTCCAAGTAGAGGAATTCTAAAGAGAAAACGACTAAATTTCCAGCCACATTTATTAGCACTTTGAATTTTATCAGAGTGACCTAATCTTTGTATCCTGGGATCTAATAAGCCTGTACAAGAGTTCCTCTTTACTTTCAGAAACAAAATCTCCTCTTACAAGACACAGAGAAAGAGGAGTAACTCCAGTGAAAGGCTAATTCAGGCAGCAAGGCTCTTTGTTAACAAAGTACGTTCTATGTTAACCTGTCTAATGTATTTTATTAAGCCAACAGGCAGTTCCAAGGAAATCTTCGGTCATCCAAATATTTGGCAATCACAAAAGAATTTGCAGGTAATTACTTAATCCACAATCAACTACAATATCAAAATCTAGATACATCTACTGCTTTGCAATTAGTGGCAATGAAAACAGAAAATGTAAATATGAATACTGACCTTGTTTCTTTTAACCCTTCTTTCTGAATGACTTCCAATATCTGCTTCGCTGTCATTGGTGAATTGGGGTGTTTTTCTAGTGCCTAAAAAATAAAAATAAACATAAAATTCCTGTATTATTGTATGAAGGCATACGAAATAAAAATGTTTGTGAATCATGCAAGGCTTCCTTAAAATTTTAAAGGGGGAAGGGGCCATTACGTCAAAATAAGGTCCCATCACACAGTTCAGGTGTCTAAAGTGAAAATGTAATTCTTTTCTGGACATTTATGGCAATTTCTGCAACATGGGGGTCATTCTTAAAAAAAAAAATCACAAAGGCATACACACCAAAAAAAAAAGAAAAAAAAATGTGACACCTGACAAAACCAAGTTAATAAATGTATATAATTTCCTTTATTAAAAATTGCCAATATTTTATGGTTAAAGACAGGTTTTCAGGCTATTAAAATGTTTCCTAAATCTCCAGGACCTTGGAAACATGGAGCCTGGACACTAGCAACAGCAGAAAACAAAGTGATGGTTAGAAATAACCTCACTGGATTCACATTTTGATCAACCTCTTTTGTATTAAAAAAAAAAAAAAGAGGGAAAAAAAAAAATCCTTCATGGCCAAAATGGGAAAAAAAGCCTACAGAAACCCAAGTAAGTCATTACAGCGTGTGTTCCAGTTCAGCTCAGTTTCCTTTCTTCTGCCTTTTTCACTTAATTTCAAGTAAACCCCTTCCTCTTCCCACTCAGCCCACCTCAGTTTTATGAACTGAGTCCCATTTTTCTTTCTCTCCCCTTCTGGCCTCCTTATTTTTGAGTGGAAGGGAGTTGTTTTAAACAAAGTGTGGGGAATCCATGGGACCTGGCTCATTATTTCTACAGGCATTAGACCATCAGACCTGGAAATGAAGTTTCTTTATTTGTCCAGGGATTTCATTACATGTAAGGAAAGCAGTCAACAAGAACGCCCACACTGCTCATCAGCACGGACGACAGGGGCCACCTCCGGGGATGAGAACCAAGTCTACACACATCCTCACAGTGACTTCCTCCGAGGGTACACAACACCTACTTAAAGATGCCGTACAGAAGTTTCTGCACATTCTAGAGTTCTAATTTAGGATTATTTGCTAGAACGATCATAATTAGTAACAGGGTCACTTTAAAAACTAAACATTGAAAAGCCTTCTGCACCTGTTCAAAATAGCTCCGTGATCTTTCCTAACTATCATGGCCAAGTTGTAAGTAGCACTGGCAAAGTTCTCCGGTGACTGACAGACAGCCTGCCCCATTCCAGCCTTCACCATCGGGGCCAATTTCCTGTTCTCCCCTCTCTCTAGTTCTCAGGAAATGTCCCCATTTTCCCCAGTCCGGATCCGTCCCTTAGCCGTAGTCAGTAAGTCCTTTAAAGAACCCAGCAATGTGAGCTACACTAGAAAGAGGGTATGGCCACGAGTATGTCCACAGGAAAGAAGGAAAATGGTCCTCACAGAGGAGGCCGCTGGAGAGCTCACCTGAAAACTGGGAAGGGGGAAAAAGAAACATAGGCACAGCTGTATAGGGAAGAGGACTAACGTGTAAAAAATATTGGTTGAAAAAAAAAGGCAAGAAGGAAACTGCATCGTAGAGCTGAAAAGGAGGAAGATTAGATCACAGAGAAAGGCGGGAAAGAAATAGACATGAAAACAAAAAGGCGAGAACTGTAAGCAGAACGGTGCATACTTATGAATTACTGAAAGGAGATGCTGTGGGCGCATGGACTATATATAGGGTGGGCATCACCCCAAATGACAGGCAATGCTGGGGACACTCATGGTCTCTCATAAGAGATATGGGCAGAAGGTCAAAAGACACAGACAGACACAAGTAAGCAAGCAAGGAAGAGGGAAACTGGCGGGGAGAGACACAGGATGGCAGAAAGGGGGGGAGTGGGGACAAGGGAGCGAAAGGAGGACAATTGAGCTGAACTGGGAATGTCCAAAAGGCAAACTGATTAAATCTAGAAAGGGCCGAAGAGGAAACTCCAGCGTACTGGGCAACGTTTTAACGGAAATTTGGGTGCACTCAAAAGTGGGGTTACTCACTGTGGAGGATTCCCTGTTTCTCTTCCTGAGTACAGGCCCCTCAGCACACCTGGGCCGCTCCTCCCAGCAATTGAGAGAATTTGGATAGCCCTGTCCCCTTCTCTATGACATCACATCCTACTCTACAAAGGAAGTAAAAGTGCCAAGAATTACATCATGAAGTGGGTGAGAGGCAGGAAGGAAATGATGAAGCCACACAGAACACCAGAAGCCACCCTCAGTTCCTGCAAGACAGAGAAAGGAGACAGAGAAGGAGAGGTTCCTGGTTGTGAACAAGCTTCACTGAACTAGCTGTGTGAACACGAACAGAACAAAGAGAGAGAGAAATTACCTTCACAGAACAAAACATCGATACCATTGAAATAATGCGACACATGGTGGAGACATGAATCAGACTCACAGGCAGCCATACTCAAACACCACAGTGGGCACGAGCCACAGTCGGAGTGAGAAAGCACGCTACGCGACCAGGCCCAAACACCAGATTGAGTAACCACCCTTGGCCCCAATGCTCTCTTGGCTGTGAGGCGTTACGGTTTCATACACCCTGCAAAATTAAACTTCCTGAATGATCCTTCTTGACGTTTTCAAATACCAATGGGTGGGCATCACCCCAAATGACAGGCAATGCTGGGGACACTCATGGTCTCTCATAAGAGATATGGGCAGAAGGTCATAGGTCACCATCTTGTACCTACCTCTTTAGAAACTGGGGTCAAGGATGCGTTAGGACACGGAAGAGAGTAAGATTACTCACGATTTTTAAGACTTTATCATAATAAGATTTTATAGGGCCAATAAATATTTCAGAAAATCAAAACACGTTGAAACTGGCTTGGGCAGTAATGATGTTAACTGTGACGAAATAGAAAATACAATTCTAAAGTTTTCCACGGATAAGAATCATTTAAAATGACCTTATTTTTGGATAGTAAAAATTGGAAAAATGCAAACTCATACCTATATTATAGAAAACAAAATGTACCCACAAGCCTACAGACAAGAATATTTGTGTTTTCCTTCTAGTTTTTCCTATCCATACATACCAATTTAATATAATTATATAAAGTATGTGCAAATACTGTTAGCTATCTTAATTTTCTCCAAGCAATATGAATTCTTCAAAATGGGCATCATAATTAACACTTCACTGAAGAGAGGCATTTATAGTCTTTTAAAGATTCAATTAATAAAGACTATATTGAATGTAACTTTCTTAGAGTATTATTGAATCAAAGAATGTGAGCTCTGTCACGTCTCTTGTCAACTGCTTCCAAAAAGATTTTAACAATTTACACTCTCACCAAGCAGAACTAAATCTGCCTCTCTTACCACAACTTTGCCAACATTCAGCATTATCTTTTAGTAGTATTTGTCAACTTAGTAGGTCAAAAAGTAATGGCTCATTGTTATTCTAATCACACTTCTGTAAATACTAATGGGGATAAAGTTTTTTTTTTTTCAAATGAGTATCATATGGGATATAACAGGATATTTCTGTTTTCCTTATTAATGTGTAAAAAGCTCTTCATATAGTAAAATAATACTGTTTTGTATATTAATAATAGATATTTATCCTTTTTGTTGCTTTTTGGGGGGGTATTTTAGGGAGATAAGCAAAGTTTTCTATTTTCACATGAACAACTCCATCAGTTTTTTCCATTATGACTTCTGTCCTATGTTTAGAAATTCCTTTTATCCAGAGAGCAAGCAAATATCTACAAATATTTTTCAAGTATTTTTATGGTTTTACTTTGGAATTCATCTATATCATTTTGTAGCAAGGTGAAACACTGACTTAAGCCCCACCACCTATAAATAAGATTCCCCAGTATAATTTGTTTCATAAGCCAGTCACGGTTAATGAGTCATCCTCTACCATATATTAATATTAGGGCAATGGAAACTCTTTGGGATTTGAAACCAAATAAATGTGGGAACCCAATATATAAAATGCACAAAAGCAGAGCTACTCTTGTTAAGGTGGAGATGAGAGTGCTCAGAGCCCCCATACTTATTCCCTCTAATGGCCAAAGGCACTTCTGGGAATTTTCAGGGTGTCTAAAAAATGAACTGTAAACCACTGTCCCTGGGCCTCATCCGGGGTCCTGAAAGATGCCCTGATCTTTCATTCAACTGCTGTGCCAGCACCACACTGTTTTAAATTGCTCTAATATTATAATACACTTCACTATCTAGATCGGCCGCTGCTCTCCTTATTCCTTCTTAAATTTTTAATTGTTCACTTCTTTATATTTCCAGATGAAATTCAGATTGGAATTAAATGAGACATCTAATTAAATTTTTAAGCAATTTACACAGTTTTCCATGTGTTTAAGTTTTGTTTTATAAACTGTAATAAGCATTTTATTGTTTATATTTTCAGTTGCAACTATGAATACACTTTTTCATATAATATTCTCACGTTTTATTGCTAAGACATACAAAAGCCACTGAGTTGTGATAATTACTATCTATATGAACAGCTAATTGAATTCTTAATAGTTCTAACAGTATAGAAGTACAGAACCATGTTTTCTACAAATAATGTGAATTGGGTCTCCTTTCCAACACTTCTGTTTTCTCGTTCCTATATTATTTACTTTGGATAAAAACTGATCTTTTCTAGTCCCTTTCAAAAAAATTTTTTGCTGAAAATTAAGCTGTTTGTCATTTATTTCCTCAAAAACAGGCCCCCGAAGCTGCCAAGTTTCACAAAGAAAATCCAGAGCTACAACTCTCAGAGCTGCCCTGTCAAGGGAGGACTGTAATTAGAACCACTGGCCAGATATCAATGTCTCTTCTAGACAAATCGGCCTGTCACGGTGTTTAATCTTTACATAAAATGCCCTTCCTTTCTTTGTAAAAACAAATCATGCTCCTGTGTTCAAGCCGTCTTTGTGAGTCCACTACTCTCACTCTCTAGGAGCTGTGTCTTGCACCTCTCAGGCTTCCGCCTGC